GTGTTGGGACTGCAGCATGGGGGAGTCTGTGCCCCACATCCCCACACAGTCCCGTGTGCACCTGCAGGTACAGGCTGACCATCCAACAGGCTGCACACACAGCCCGAGCTGCCCCAGGACACAACTGCCCCTACACGCACGGCCAGCTGACACCTACATGTCCTTGCACACGTATGTGCTGTCCCTCTGCCATCCAACACAGTGCACAGCTGCCCCTCTGCATTCCCTTCTCTTGTTCCTCAGGACACCCCACACCAGTGTGCCCCACAGTGCGTGTCCTCTTCAGCCCCTGCTCCCTGAACCACAGTCACGTCTGTTTGCCAGCAGAGCCGGGAGCTGCCCTGCCCCAGCCCCCTCCCCTGCACTGGGCGTGCTGGCCCTGCTGCTCTGGGGCACCAGGGGACCCTGACTTCTGGGCAGGGAGGACACGGGCAGAGCCACGGGATCAGCACTGGGCACTGCTGCAAGCGCTTTGGGAAGATACGAGCGACCACAGTGGTCTGTGGTGAGCCCTGTGTGCTCCAAATGATGGTGAGGAATCTAACAAGGGCAAGGAAGAAGAGGATGGCAAGGAAGACAAGGAGGGTGAAGGGGCTTGCAGAGCTCACAGTAGGTTTGGCAGGTGGAGCAGACAGCAGGGAGAGTTCACACCCGTGTTTCCTCCATGGCTGAGGTTCTTATCAATTGTGTTTTGGGGAGATTAGCTCCGTTTGGCAGCACAGAGTCAGGAGGGAGGGCTGGGGGGGCTGATTTTCTGGGAAGCAGCAGCAGCAGCAGGGCAGGGTCTGCTGCATGTGTGTGCATGGGGAGAGCTGCCAAAGCAGCAGAACCCTTCAAACTGGTGGCACAAAAACAAATGGGTGTAAATGCACGTGAGCACACTGGGATGTGGACTGGGATGTGTTGGAGGATGGAGGACAAGCGCTGTGGGTTCACCTGCAGGAGCAGGGGCTGCCATGGCCAGGGACTGCTCCCACCTGCCCACACATGGACACTCAGGCACCTCTCTCCTGCAGGATCTCCTCCCTCTGGTGTCACAGCACAGAGCAAATCCAGGGCTAGTTTAGTACCTCATAGCCTGCCACCTGTGATCACTGATTCTTTTAAAATTCAGGCTCCAAAGTCCTGAAACCAGTGTCCCTATACTGGACTGCAGATTTGCGCATCCCATCCCCACCCTGCCTGGATCCCAAGGGAAGAGCAGACACCCTGGGGCAGGTGTGGAGGTTCTTCCCTGGCAATTGACTGGGATTTGTGGTTCAGGAGCTTGAGTCCCTGAACAGTCTTTGTGCTTAATGATCTGCAATGGACTTTTCACTCCATGAATTCTCAGATTGCTTCTGGAGCTCATGCAAGCACTGAGCTCCTGCAGCACTCCTAATAAAGTCTTAAAAAGCCATCTTGATAGATGGAGACAGGCAGGATTTATCCTACTCCCCCATCACCCCCAGGAATCCTTCAGGGGAATGCAATGATCACATTTGTCTTGGCACAGCCTTCACCCTGCTCCCTGGAGTGATGCAAGCACAGCTTCATTCCCTGGGTCCTGCCATCAGCTGCATCCTGTTCTGGAGAGGGTTGGAAGCAAGCAGGACCTTGAGGTGCACCCAGGGAGCCCAGGGCTGGTGCTGTCCTTCCTGTACTGCATTCTCACACCCACAGTCCCCTCCCTCCAGCAGGAACGCTGACACAGTCCAGCCCACCCCAGCCCCCAGCCGTGGCACAAACAGACACGTTGCTGCAGCAAAAGACACTTTTTTTATTGATGGTACATAGGCACAGCTGACAGCTCATCTGTACTTCTCAGCCAGCACGCTGGCCACAGCAGACATGAACTTGTCGACGGCAGAGTGCACCTCGGGGCTGTACTCCTTACCCAGGCGGGTAGCCAGAGTCACCTGCAAGCACTGCGACAGGAACTGCAAGGAAAAACGGGGCTTAGCACTGCCACTCCAGCCCTCATTCCCCATCCCGCCCCTGTCCCACACCCCCTGTACCCCATCCCCTGCTGTCCACCCTGATCCCCCTCCCCCATCCCCTGTCCTTCATCCCCCGGCTCCCATCCAGATCTCTGTCCCCATTCCCTGTCCCTCAGTCTCCATTCCCCATCCCCCAGTCTCCATTCCCCATCCCCTGCTCCCTGTCCCTCCATTCCGATCCCTATCCTCAAACTCCGTCCCCATTCCCCATCCCCATCCCCTGCCTGCCTTGAAGTTGACGGGGTCCACACGGAGGTTGTAGGCGTGCAGGTTGCTGAGCTCAGACAGAGCCTGGCTGAGGTTGTCCATGTTCTTGATGGCACCGCCCAGGGCAGTCATCACTTTCTTGCCATGGCCACGGATCTGGTCAGAGCCTTGTGACAGGTCGAAGTGGGGGAAGTAGGTCTTGGTTGGGGGATAGGAGTGGAACATCCTGGAAGAGTGGGACATTCAGTGGTGCTGACCCCAGCTGGACCCATCACAGTGGCCCCTCTGTGGGGCTCCCACCCCCTCGTCCCCCTCTCCCATGGGGTCCCCAGGCCTGTACCTGTACAGGGCATCGGCTCCGATTTCCTCCTCGGCGCCACCCAACTTTCCCCAGATCTGCTGGATCAGCTTCTTGTCCTCGGCGGTCAGCATGGTGGCGGCTGGAAGAGTGGGCAGGGGTTGGTGGCAGCAGCACCGCAGGGACACCTCTTATAGCTGCTGGCACCTCCTCCCAGCCTTATCTTATCACACTGAGGGACCAGGGGATGGCCGGGCCCTGGGAGCGGCTGCGGCACTGCCTTGGGGGCCCCGGATGCCTCGGGGGGGCCCTGCCCTAAGGAGGCCCCTGTGGGGCCCAGCTGCCTCTCCTGCCCCACTGCACCAGCCCAGCACCAGAATGGGGCAGGGGGCAGCACCTTACCAGGCTGTCCCTTGGACAGCAGCAGCCCCAGGCATGTCCCACGAGTGCCACAGCCTTGTCCAGCCTGGCTGGCATGTCCTCAAACCTGCTGTTGTGGTCCATCGTTCTCCACAGATGGGCCAGGATCCCACTTGGCTCTGAGGGTGTTGAGGTAGGTCCCACAAGTGTCCCATGTCCCCTCCAGACTTTGGCACATCCAGCCCCTCTCTGCCCCAAGAGGCCCCATGGCCTCTGAGTAGGAGCCATGGACAAGCCCTCCCAGAGAAATCCAGGCAGGGATTGCCTGACAAGCATCACAGGATGGACTTTGGGAAGACCGTGAACCCAAAGAGGAGGTTGTTCCCTGCCTGGACAGTCTTCCCAAAGTCCATCCTGTAATGCTTGTAAGTCCTGGACTCCTTCCCTTGTTCCCACCCCAATGTGTGCTCCTGCTTCTCCCTATAAATGCTGGGAAGTCCTGCAGGACATGTGGTGGCTGGTCATACAAGAACAGAATTTTAGAATAATCAAATTATTAATGTTGGAAAGGGTGTCTAGGATCATCGAGCCCAACCATTCCCCCAGCACTGCCAAGGCCAACACTAAACCAGGTCCCCAGGGGCCACATCTGGACATCTGCTAAATCCCTCCAGGGACAGGGACTCCACCACTGCCCTGGACAGTCTGTGCCAGTGCCTGGCAAGGCTTTCAATGAGGAATTTTTTCCTAATATCCAACCTAAGCCTCTCCTGGCACAACTTGAGGCCATTTCCTCTGACTCTCACATCCTTCTCTCAGCCTCTGTGGGAAGGAGTTGGTGCAAACACAGGGTAAGGGACACACCAGTTGCTGACCTAGCACATAAGTCATGGATTTAAACCTCCAGGTTACCTGACATCCATGGATGAAGAATGCTTTAAAAGCTGCTCTGGTGATATGTTTAGAGCCATTTGGTGGCCTGAGAGCTTCCACATCTTTCTCCCCCTTGTCCAAACACAGTCCCTAAATTCCAGGGATGAGACAAGGGCTGCCACTTGCAGTGCTGGCTCAGGCTGGCCATCAGAGCAGGCTGAAGGCCTTGCACCCCGTGTTTAATGCCAGAAGTCTGAGACAGGAGCTGACATGGTCCTGTGCTTCAGGTTTTTGGCCAAACTGGCCCAGTAAAAGGCCGATGTTCCAGATTTTGTTGAGCAGCATTTGCACAGCATCAAGACTGTCTCTTCTTCTCACGCTGCCCCCACCCAAGGAATAGATTTTGAGGTGCTGGGAGAGGACACAGCCAGGCAGATAGGCCCAACTAATCAAAAAGGTATTTCATACCATATAACACCATGCTCAGCAATCAAAGGGAAAAGAAGGGGTCTGAGGGAGTTTTAGGGGGATTATTTATGGTTTTTGCTCATGAACTGGCTGAACATCAGCCTGCCTATGGGATGTGGTGAGGGATTGCCTTTGCATCCCATGTTTTGTTTTCTTTCCTGCACTTCCACATAGTCTTCACTAACTAAACAATTATTTCTGTTTGTTTGTTTGATCTTGACCCCCAATTTTTCTTGCTTTTATCTTCCTTTGCCCTTCACCTCATCCCATTGCAGGGGGAGGGTGAGTGGGAGTTGGGGCACAGTGGCTGCACAGTGGGGTTAATTCACAGAAGAAACACATCAGATGCCACATCCATACCCCATGGAGAGAGGCATGAGAGGACAATGCCCTGCATTGCAATGCAGGTTTGGTTCCCAGCAGGCTGGGATGGGTTTTGGATAGGTCAGGCAAAAAGCCTTGGTCCATTCAATGTCCTAGCAGGGTGAAAGATTCTTCCCTGGTCAGCCTGGAGACAGACTGTGGTGGATATACCTTGGTGAGCAGCTGCAGTCACAGGGCTCCAGCCCATTTTGGGCTTCTGCTCAATGCTGTGTTGCTCTCACTGAATGTTATGTTATCCCCGCTGAATTGGCACATGAATTAGTATGAGTTCATTGGTATGTGAATTAGTACATGAGTTTATAAAGTTTATAAACTTTAACTTTTTATAAATGCCCTCCATATTGTGTAGACATTTCAGAACACCCCTGCCTGAACAATCAGGTGTGGGCAGAACACATAGAGAGGAAAGCACAGAGACCATGGCTCACATTTGAATTATTTATTGGGTTTTGCAGATGACCAAGGCCCTGCAGCAGGGATTTAAAGAGCTGCCCAGGGAGGGGTGATGTCCCAGAGCCTGGCAGCAGGGCTGGGCTGTGGATGGACCTCCCTCACCCTCTGTTGAGGTCATTTATCTGTACTTCTCCGTCAGAACAGAGGAAACACTGGACAGGAACTTGTCCCACGCCGCATGAACTTCTGGGGTGAAGTCACGGGGATAGTGGGCAGCCACGGAGCACAGGATACAGTGGGAAAGCAGCTGTAAGGGAAAGCAGCAGGAAATCCATCCCAGTGAGTACCAGGTATCAGTGTAAGGGTCTGCAGTGTACCTTGGGCCCAGTGTGCTCGGGGCTGACAAGCACATGTCCCAACCAGGTGGTGCTGCTGCCTGAGATGGGAGTGAAGAAGTGCAGTTGTCTTTTGTTTAGGGCCAAAGGCACTGCTTGATCCCACTCCCTCTTGTATGTGCCCCTTCCTCAAGTGCAACAAAGTGGGACTGTTTATAATTTATTAAAACTTTGTTCCAGACAGGTGATACAGCTTGATGTATGAGGCAGATTAATTTTGAATTACAGCAAAACCAGTAGAGATTTGAGTCTGTCGAACACAAACCACAGGAGTTCTTTGCATGCATTGGGCCAGAACTTCCATTAAAAGACCCAATGTCAGGTTGAAAATCATATGAGAAACCGACTGTGCAGCACAGTCAGGGATCAAGGTGCCATTAGAGACCTATGGTCTCTAATTTTGTGATGGCAGTTTCCACCCCTGAAAGTCTCTGTGCTCACTCACCTTGAAGTTCACGGGGTCCACCCTGAGGATGTAAGCATGCAGCTCGCTGAGCTTGGCCAAAGCCCTTCGGATGTCATCAATGTTCTTCACAGCTTCCCCAATGGCACTCATGACCTTGGAGCCATGGCCACGGAGCTGAGCTGAGCCTTGGCTCAGGTCGAAGTGAGGGAAGTAGGTTTTTGTCTGGGGGTAGCTCAAGAAAAGCCTGGAGGAGGACATGATGAAGAGGGTCAGCATTAGAAATGGTATGAGGTGGTAAAACCTCAGAACAAGTGCAGTGTAAACCTTCTGCAGCACATGCAGATTAGACAGCAGGTTTATCTGTATGTACTAGAGAAGAATTAAGTGTTAAAAATTATTTAAAACTTAGTGTAGCCTTGGGTTTGGTTTTGTTTGGTTTTGTTTTTACTAAATAAAAGCCCCATCTTGTCACCAAATTTCCTGTATTATATTATAACCAAGTTTCCTGGACCTTCAAACAAAAATTAACAAACCAGAATTGATATTAATGGTACTCAGAATCCTGAAAGGAGGATCATAATACTATATATTGAGCTGTAAATAGCATTTAAGTCAGTTTGAATAACATAAGAATTTCTGATAATTTCCAGAACCTTTTATACCGGCTTGTTTAATTGGTATGGACTTTGAATTACTGTGCCATGCTTCATGCAGGGGGTCCAGCTGTCTTGTTTCCTAACAGTTTGTTACTTAACAACTGGAACAATGAAACCTGAGCATCCAGTGAATTTAGTGGACAGCTATTCTCTAAATGCATAAAAACTGCAAGAGAAAGTGCATCACTTGTACCATAAACCACTTAAAGTTTATTCCCTAACAGGGATAATGGTGTTCAGGACACTGAGTATGAATGACTTTGTATTCCTCACCAGTGCTTCTGGCTATGAATTCTTCTGTATGGCTATAAGAAAAAAACCCAACCCTATTAAATAGTTTAAAAAAGCATGCTTTACTGCCAGATTGTGAAGCATTTAGTAGCACAGCTATAACTCCTGGAGATTACATATCAAACAGCACAACTCTTCATCAAGTCTCCCTGGTCCCAGCCTGCTCTCACTCACCCAAGTTCTACATGAGATGCATCCCAAAAGCAAAGCCCTCTTTGGAGGCCTGCTGGGGCCTTACCTCTCCAGTGATTCTGCCCCGATGGCATCAGCCTGGGTGGCCACCTTGGCCCAGACGGTGACCACGGCGGCTTTCTCGGCTTGGGTCAGCGTCATCGTGCAGGAGGTGCTGGCTCTGTCCCCTTGCAGTGGCAGCTCAGAGCAGGTTTGGACTCACCACCTGGCAGTCCTGGTTATAAAGGGGAAGGGGGGAGCAGAGCTTGGTGCCTGTCCACACTCATTGGTCACTCCAGAGGCCCGCTGAGGAGTGGGGACACTTATCTCCTGAGGAGCAATGGCTACACTGGCAAGGGTCAGCACACTGTCCTCCTTGCCTGCTGGCCTTATCAGCTTCTTGCTTCTTAACCTAACAGCTGTGTGGTCCAAAGAAATTGTCTGGACACGTATTGATACATGAACAGAGAGATAATGCTGCAAAAGTCCAGTGGTGAAGCATTAGGACACGTCTAAGCTGAGGAGCGTGTGGGCTGCAGCGCGCTAAGGAGCCTGGAGAGGAATCTGCATTTCCTCCCTTGGTTCACAGATGTGAACACAAGACTCTGAGCCTTTCTGACCCAGCCACTTCCAGTATATGTGGCTGCACCATGTGCAATATTTCACATGAAATGGTTTGTAGGTAGTGGTAGGGACGGGCTGGGAGATCTGTAGTGCAGTTCAGAGGAGAAATGAAATTCTGATTTTTGAAGAGTAAGTGCAGATTCTGCCATTTGCTTCAGGACTTCACTTTGCCAGCTTCTTGCAAAGAATTAGGGACTCACAATTGCTGCCTATGACAGCACTGGTAGTAAGGATTACTTTGGATACCGGAATACAGAGTTTGTGAAATTGAGTATGGTACTAGAAAAATGTGTGTGTGAGAGAAACCCCAGTCAGATTTCTTTATTTATAATCCTCAGACTGCACATCTTTGATTTCTAACTGTGTGATCTTACTGTTAGTTGTTCCCTGCACTGTAAAATAGCTCTCAGCACTCCTGTTAGTGCTGGCTGTGTTGTGCTATGTGCTGAACATGCACAAGAGCTCCTGGTCCTACAGCAGATGGCTGGTACCATCAGCGCATGGGCCCTGGGTGGGTGAAGGACCAAACAAGCAAAATGGAGACCAGCACAGGTCTGTAATCACAGGTAAATGGGCAAAGTGTCAAAGAAATGCCCTGCTGGAGATGGTTGCTGCAGAACCTCTGGGAGTAACTATCCTGCCAGCAGATAAAGCAGAGGTAAATCTCTTTGCCACACTGATAAACTTCAGCAGCCTCAGCCATCACCACTGAGAGCTGGCAGCTTGCACAGAGCCCTGGCTGGTACAGTCAGAGGGGTCAGATAACATTCTCTGCCCAAGCAGCCCTGCACTTGCAGAAGGACTCTGAGCCACCCCTTATACTCTGCACTGGGCTCTAATTTAAGCTTCTCTGCATGCCATCTGTCACACAAACTAGAATAAACCTTGGGCTTTCCCAAAAGGCAGGCACAAAGCACTTGGGCCTCTGAGTCTGCAAGCCTGGCTGGGTTTGAGGATCTTGAATTATCATCCCCTCTGTGGAGGCCAACAACTTCTCTGGGATTTAATTTCAGATTGTGTTCAGTGCCACAGCTCCTCAGTCCTTCTGACCAAGGGCTGGGTGGCTGGGTAATTCACTCACTTTAAGAGGGGATATGAAAGCAGACTCACCTGAGACACAAGGAGGACAATTGTTTTACCACAGGGAATATTATCAGAGGGCTATTTGTATACCTTCCCTTTGATACTGCCATACATATCCCCTGAAAACCCAGAGCTCACTCTGGCTACGCTGATGCAGAGCAGTGCAGTCTCCATTTCAAAGTACCACTGACAACACAGGCAGAGCCAGGGCACAGACAACATGGTATTCAATTTATACAACTTAAATGGGTGGCAGTACCAAGAAAGGTGGTATTCATCATCCCTTGCTACACACATTTCCAAAACTTGCAGTTTTCCCATAGAAAATTTACTTCCAAAATATAGATGCTGTTGTGAAATATCCATTTACATAATGTTTTTGTCTCCTCCCCAAAGTACTGCCTCTTACATGTCGTGTTGCATGGCAGTGCTCCAAGCTCTCCTCAGTGAGAGTGCTTTTAATCAGGGGTTACTCCACCAAGCTGTGACCCAGATAAACACAGGGATAAGGCACAGACCATCAGGACTCCTTCCTCTCCTGTGTAACCTGGGCAGGATTAAGGTTTGTGAGTGCACAGAGTGATGTCTGCACAGGAGGATTCATCATCACTGAAATCATTATGGAATTTGAAACCCTTTTCTGAGAGTTACTCCTGCACTATCTCAAAAACCAGAGCAGCCAAAAGGGGACAGTAGCTTGTTAGAAGGAGCTCATTACTCACTCAGGATCAGAGCTGTGCTGGGGATTGTTGTGGAAACTCCTCAGGAACAAATCCGGTGGGAGAAGTCTGATCCTCAGCACAACATGACATGGAAAATGGCTCGGCTTTGCATGAACCTTTCAGCCAAATTCCTCATTACAGTGTTGCAGCTACCCATGGGGTAGTGAGACAAGGGGGTCCTGGCCTCAGGAATGCAAAGAACTGGACAGCCTGATTGCTGCTGCTTCTGTGTCACAGGACGAGTAGAGAAGATGTCCTCTGGGAAGCCCCCCAACCCTGTCTTCCTCCCTTGCTGCTGCTTCTCATGAAGATCCACAGCTCCACTGCAGAATGTCCACCCTTGGGCATGTCATGAATCTTTGTCAGAGAATCACCAAAGGGGATTTTTTTTTTTTTTAACGGATGTAGGTATTTTTAAATCTAAAATCTGTTCCAAAAGCCAGCTACCAGAGTTTCTCATTTTAAACAGCAGAAGCAAGCAACAGACCTGTTAGCTAATTGTAAAAGTGGGATTCTCATTTCCAACAGCCCTGATTGTAAATCCAATTGAATGGCATCATTGTGAGATCAAGGACAACTTTCCCCATGGGCCTGTATTATCCACAGGAATTGCCTTCCCCTCAAGGAGAATGCTGTGAATAAGGGAGGACATATATCTGCTCTAACTGAAATATTTGAGGCATATTGCATTTTGAAAGTCTGGAAAGTGGAGTCTAAATCCTGGCTTTACTCTTTAATTTCCTACCAGGGCTTGAAGAACTTGCAATCATTGCTTTAAATGACAAGGCTAACTACAACTAAATGTGCAGGAGCTGGAAATGACAGATAGGCCTATAATTCATTATTTAAGTAAGTAAAATTATATTTTGAAGCTGGCACACTGAAATTTTAACATGACAGCCCAGTGCTGGTGTACAAGGAGTGCTCTGCTGTGATAACATGGCTGGTCTTTAATCACCCCAGGACAACTCTCTCCCCTCAGCATCGCCTTCTCTTGCTCAATTGTTATCACTGGCCCTGTGCAGAATGGCCCTGCAGATTACACCCTGCTGGGGCTGCTCATCTCCCTCTTCAGCCACCCACCTCTGTCCTGTGTCCCTGCAGGGACTGCAGAGCAAAACCCGGAGTGGGGATATCTCAGAGTGTCCAAGCATCTAAGGAATGCAATGAAATACAGAAGAATTTGCAGAATACCTCAGGGCATCCTCAAATATAATTGCTGATAACTTCTGATCTCGATTAAACACAAAAAAATATGAAGGCACCAAGACTGCTGCCAGGGGAGTAATGTCACCCTTCCTAATCCAGAGGCAGGAGTAAAAGCACAGGAACCATGAGGCAGGGTGCAGCAGAGTTGTGAAGTGAACATGAGCAACAAGCCCAAGCCAGCCTTTCCATGAGCATGGGGAGCCCACAGCTCTGACTTCCACAGCTGCCCCCCTGCAGCCACCCTGGTGTCACAGAGACCTTAAGGTTGGAAAAGCCCTCTGCAATCATTCATCTGCAATATTGACACGCTGGATTTGGCAGCTCTGATGGAAATAATCTACTGCCAGATGGTGGAAGAATGGAGAGGGACTGGAAGGGAAGACAGAGGGATTCTCGACCAGTGAATTCACCCTCAGTGGCACCCAGGCTGGCACAGGGAGGGTGGAGATGCACATTAAGCTCCTGCATCCCATCTTTTGCCCATGGCAAACTCAGGAGAGGTCACCAGTTCCTCTCCCACTAGGGAAAAAGCATCCATGCCTCATTCCAATCCACAACAAATTACCTTTGTTCTCCCAATTAATTTAGCCTTCTGCTCAGTGTATGGCATGTGTGTACTTAGCTCAAGAAAGGCAGAAATGTTATTTAAAAAAACTGTTTGAAATGTCCCAAAGAGTCATTGCAGCAGGCTTTACCCAGTGTTCTTTATCTCCATTCCCACTCTAATTACCAACGAGCCTCCTTGTTTAATACTGTTTTATGGAGCTCTTCTTTTCTTCCCTGTTGCTATTAGAAAGTTGCTGATGTGGAAAAAAGAGCAGGGAAAGTGTAATGAGAAGAGTCGTGGCTCACTTAGAAAAATTCCTATTCACACACACACTCCAAGGTGTTAGGTTAAACCAGCACTGTTAAGCTCACCACTAAACCATATCCCAAAATGCCACATCCACATTTTTTTTTTAATACTTCCAGGGATTGTGATTCCACCACTGCCCTGGTCAGTTCCAGTGCCTGTCCACCCTTTCCATGAGGATGATAACCTGGGGACGGAGGGGCTGGGGGTCTGGGCATGGGGGACATGATGAATCCTCGCTGGTCTTTGTTACCAGCTCTCAGGAAAGCTCTGGAGTTAATGACTGAACTGGCTGAAAGCCCACAAATGACCCACAGTGGCCAAATAACAGCATTGGGTGGTCCAGGATCCAGCAGCCCCTGTGGAGGGATCCAGGGCTGGGACCACCATGCACTGTCTGGGTACAGGGCTGAACTGGGGGTGCTGGGCCATGCTGGGGGCACTGGGCTGAGCTGGAGGGTGCTGGCTGCAGGCATGTGAGGCACTGGGATAAACTGGGAGTGCCTGGAACAGGGAGTGGTGTCCATGGGACACTGGGATGGTTGAGAGAAAGTAAGTGTCAGGTGCTGGTCTGAACTGGGGGCACTGGGCTGTACTGGGAACAGGGCTATGTGTGAGGTGCTGTCATAACTGGGCATGTGGCTGCAGGTGAGGTGCTGGTATGAACTGGG